AAATTATTCAGGAGACCAGAGGATCAAAAAAGCTCAAGAGCCTAGCTGAGGTGGGGATGGCCAGCCCTGAGTGGCCCCCAAGGGATCAATGAAGATCATCATGTGGAACTGTAGAGGGTTGGGTGGACCCTCTACAGTTGCCCAACTTAAGGAGTCTTCCAGACTTCACCATCCACATTTTGTCTTCCTATCTGAAACAAAAAAGAAAAGCCATTTTATTAAATCTGTTTGTAATAAAATAGGTTTTAAGGGTAGGTGGTATGCTGAAGATCCTAGGGGTTTGAGTAGGGGTCTTCTTGTATTATGGCATAGTGATGTAGTTATTAAGCAATTGGTGAGTAAACCACTTTTGTCTTCAGATTGAGGTTGAGGCGATTGAGGGGCAAGGTTCTTTTTGGGTTATCTTTATTTATGCCAGTTCTGATAGGAATGAAAGGGTCTTGCAATGGCAATTTTTAGAAGCAGCTTGTGTTAAGTGGGGTAGCAAATGGCTGTTGGGGGAAGATTGGAATGAAATATGTGATGGGAGTGAGAAGAGGGGAGGCAGGCAGAAGTCTGATGGGGAATGTAGAGGGTTTAATGATTTTATCTCCAGGATGGGTATGCATGAGCTGCCTTTGATAGGGCATAATTTTACCTGGGGTAATAATAGGGGGGATGAAGGCTACATTGAGGAAAAAATTGATATAATCTTTGCTTATTATGACTGGTTTGCAGATCATCCTAATGCTGAGGTTGCTAACATATTCCGAAGCTCCTCTGATCACAGAATGATGGCCTTTGACTGATAAGCCAGACAACATATCTTATAAGGCCAGGAGATTCCAAGAGATGGTTGCAGAGGAATGGCGTTAAAGAAGTGATACAAGAGGGATGGCAGTCTCAGCAAGAAGGAACCCCCATGTTTCAGGTTTCTGAGAAGATCAAAGCTACAAGACTTGCTCAGCTTAAATAGAGTGCTCTATTCAGAAGAGAGCAAGTTCAAAAGAAGACAGAAATCAGCAACACTCTTGACATTATGAGCAGGATGGGGGCTGATAGAGACTGGGATGAGTGGAGCAGACTGAAACAAGAGATGGATTTGGTAATCAAGGAAGAAGAAGAATATTGGGCCCAGAAGTCAAGAACTCAGTGGCTAAAGGAGGGGGACTCCAATACAAAATATTTCTATGCTTTGACTCTCCAGAGAAGGAAGCTTAATGCCATCACAAGGCTAGTGGATGACAACAACTTTGTGCTAGATAACAAGACAGCTATTACTTCTCACATTTGCTGTTTTTATGAGAAGCTGTTCAAATCTGAGGGATCAAGAGGGGCAACTGAGATCCTGCATCACATTCCACAATCTATCTTTCCAGACATGAATGAAGCCCTCATTGCTCCAATCACAGAGGAGGAGATAAAGTTAGCTTTATTCAGTTGAAATCCAGGTAAAGCACTTGGACTTGATGGCATGAGTCCTCTATTTTTTCAGAAATTATGGAATGTCATTTCTACTGATTTTTGCAAAGCTATTCATAGTTTCTTTGAGTCTGGGCAGCTGCTCAAAAGTTGGAACCATACCCTTATATCTCTGATTCCTAAATGCTTAAATCCTTCCTCCATTAAAAACTACAGACCTATTAGTCTTTGTAGTGTATCATACAGAGTCATTGCCAAGATCCTATCTCTAAGAATAAAGCCTTGTTTGCCTGCTTGTGTGAGTGAGAATCAGTCTGCTTTTATTCCCAACAGACAACTTCTTGATAATGTTGTGATAGCTCATGAAGCTATTCATTACTTAAACAGATTGAGAACGGGCAGGAAGGGCTTCATGCTCATAAAATTGGACATGGAAAAGGCTTTTGACAGAATTGAATGGAGCAGTGTGAGGAAGGTACTGCTGAGAATGGGGTTTCATGCTTCTTTTGTCAAATGGGTGTGGGCTTGTATTTCTTCTACTTCGTTCTCTTTTAATGTTAATGGTGAGGTCCAAGGCTACTTCAGAGCTTCTAGAGGCATTAGACAAGGGGACCCCTTGTCCCTTTATATTTTCATTATCATTTCTGAGGTTTTTTCAAAGCTTTTAAATACTGAGGTTGTCAGGGGCAATTTTAAGGGGTTGAGAATTGCTAAAAGAAGTCCGGCTGTATCACATCTCATGTTTGCTGATGACACTCTTATTCTTTGTGAGGCCAATCAATCTCATGCTAATACTTTACTGAGTGTGCTGTTTAAATATGAGAACTTTACTGGGGAAAAAGTGAATCTTTGCAAATCCTCCATCCATTTCAGTAAGAATTGTCTGCTCTCTACTCAAAATTTGATCTGTCAGCTATTGGGAGGTATTCAAGTGCATAGATCTACCAGATACCTGGGGCTACCCCTAGGTATTGGTAGGTCAAAAAAAGAATCCTTTGATTTTGTGTTGAATGCAGTGAGAGCTAAACTTGTTAGTTGGAAGAATCAATACCTTTCATTTGCAGGCAAAGAAAACTTATTAAAGGCTGTGTTGGGGGCCTTGCCTGTATTTTCTATGTCTTGTTTTTGTTTGCCAAAGGGTATCTGCAAAGAGATTGCTAGAATCTCTGCTGGGTTATGGTGGGCTACAAATGATCAACATGCTGGCATTCACTGAAAGGATTGGAGGAAAGTTACATTGCCAAAAGATGTAGGAGGTTTGGGATTTAGAGATTTTGCATTGTTCAATGAAGCTTTGATTCTCAGGCAGATATGGAGAATTGTGACTAATCCCAATCTCTGATGTCTAGAGTGCTCAAAGGTAAATATTTCCCTGATTGTTCTGTCTCTATAATACATCATGGCTCTGGAGTAACTGGCTTTTAGTCAAAGACAAATTTCAGAATTTCTTTCACATTATGGTGAGAAATGGTCATGGAGTCATAATTTGGAGGGATCCTTGGGTCCCTGGGCTGCAGCATGGAACACCAGTAAGCACTGTAGATGGCTCAAGGCAGGTAACTTGGGTGCATGAACTTATTGAGGATGATGGCAGGACTTGGAACAGAAGTAAAATTGAAGAATGTTTTCAGCCTTCTGATGCAGCAGA